GTCTCAGCATTAGCATGTCAGAGTTTGAAGCAACTGCAAGGTCAATCTAATCCTACCTTCCCAATTTACAGATCAGACAACTGAGGCTTACCAAGGAGGAGGGACTTCCCAAGGTTCCGGGGCTAGGTAGTAGCAGAACCAGACTCAAACTTAGGTTGGCTGACTTCACGTCCAAGACTTCCCCTCTTGCACCAAATGTGGCAGAAAACAGAAGAACAATAAAGAAAGTGGAAGTGGTATCCATCTGGGGCTGTGGACCTTTGTGGCTTTATGCAAAGATCAAAAATGTCCTAAAACGGTTGTCCCAAGCCTGAGGGGCTACGGGCAGGAGCTGTGGCTAACTTATTAAACTGAAAAAGAGTCCTCTTATGAAGTGGAGAACACAGTTTATTTTCTATTGACGCAGGCATCCGTGGTTCTGAGATGTTTGCGGAGATGGATTTGAAGGCCTTACAGTCTTACCAAATTCTGATCAAAGAAATTGGACTGCGGCACTGCGTGGACCCTGCTCTCATTGCAGCCATCATCTCTAGAGAAAGTCATGGTGGAACCATCCTGCTGGATGGCTGGGACCACACGGGACTTAAATTTGGCCTGATGCAGGTACTCAGCCAGAAGCTTTCCATCAGCCCCGCTCCATCCTTCCTGATAGATTATTTGCATTTATCCTAGGCTTTAAAACACTGATACTTGCATGGTTTCTGCTGGTAATTCTGTAACATGTCAAGATATACCAGTTATTTGATACCTTTTTAAAAAAGTATCTTACGGGTTTTATAACTACAATTTGCAATGAATACTATGCAATGCACTTAAATTGAGAAAGTCTTATAAAAAAGGGCACTATTACCAGTATCCACTTGAAGTTCATGAAATAGTAAATTTCATCCATGTAGATCAAAACATTGTAATGAAGTCTTACTTGAGTCAAATTGTTCATTAGGCAATTTGGAGGAAGGGAACCCAAATTTTCAGAATATTTTCTTCCAGGCTTTTATTATTGTATTTATTTTAAAATTCACATTTAATTATTTTTTGGCTGTGTCACACAGCTTGTAGGATCTTTGTTCCCTGACCAGGGACTGAACCTGGGCCCCGGAAGCGAAGGCACCAAATCCCAACCACTGGACCACCAGGGAATTCCACCAGGCTTTATTTTGAATGGTCTGAGAAACCCAGACTTCCAGTCTCCCCACTTAGAAAAAAGATATTTTTGACTGCAAATATCTAGGCTTTGGGTGCTCATTATTTGTTTTAAAACAACTTTTTCCTTTATTTATTTGTTAATATTTGAGTGCTTAGCTAAAACTATGCCACACCCAGTTCTCCCAAATCTCACTTTGTTTTTCAGACTCTTTCCCGTGAAAGAAAGGACATTTAGAATTGATTCTGTGGAAACAGAAAAGGGGCAAGGTGGTGCCCATGACCTTGAACATAAGGAACAGAAATCAGGACAGCAGAAACCTGTGTTGCTCCAATCAGATGCTGACATTCTTATCTGAATTTTCTAGCTTGATAAAAAAATTCATCATCCTGTTGGTACCTGGGATGGCAAAGAACACCTTTTGCAGGCTGTTGGGATTCTCACAGACAGAATTAAGGCAACCCAGAAAAAATTCCCCAGCTGGAGTGCGGCTCAACACCTCAAAGGTAGGCCGGATGTGCAGTGCTCTGTTCAGAGAGTGGTGAGTAAAAGCCCCGAAGGCCGGTGTGCCCTGGGCATTCCTGGGTCTGTGCCCACCGGGGCAACTCTGGGCCTGGGGGGAGCCTGAACGCTCTCTGAAGCGCTGAGCTCCCTGGAGTGGTCTTCTTTTCTGCTTCCATTTCCTTCTGCCAGACGTTGGGGTTCCTTTTACGTCTCTCCTTGGTTCTCTTTTTTTAAAAAGCATTCGTTTATTTATGCTGCGCTGGGTCTTCGTTACTGCATGCAGGATTTTCTCCGGTTGTGGCAACTGGAGGCTGCTCTCCAGCTGCGGTGCACAGGCTTCTCTCTGCGGAGGCGTGGTGGGCGGGCTCTCGGCATGTGGGCTTCGGAAGTTGCGGCACATGCGCTCAGTAGCTGTGGCTCGGGAGCTCCAGAGCACGGGCTCAGTAGTTGTGGTTCACAGGCTTAGTTGCTCTCATGGCATGTGGGATATTACAGGACCAGGGATCAAACCCGTGTCCCCTGGCTTGGCAGGGGATTTTTAACCACTGGACCACCAGGGAAGTCTTCTCATTGGTCCTTGAGCCACTGAGTGATGCCCTGAGAGTTAGTGTGATTGTTTAAAAGAATATGTTTGCCTTTCTCTGATGGATTTTTTTTCTCCCTGGTGCAAGAAACTGTTGCACACTTTCTGAACTGTTGGAATACATGTTCACCCCGTGAGCATCCTCAGTGACAGCAGGGCTCTAATTATCATGATGTGTCCAGGGAAAGATGCCTTCTAGGCTGATCACAGACCACCTCAGGTTCAGTGTCTCCTAGACTGAATTAACTCACTTTGCCTGCTTGCTTAGTCATACCTGACTCTTTTCAACCCCACGGACTGTAGCCCACCAGGCTCCCCTGTCCATGTGCTTTCCCAGGCAAGAATACTGGAGAGTGTTGCCATTTCCTTCTCCAGGGAATCTTCCCAACCCAGGGATCCCACATCTCTTGCGTCTCCTGCATTGGGAGGTGGGTTTTTTTTACCAGCTGAGCCACGGGGAAGCGAATTAACTCACTAGCCTCCCATTATACATTTGCTTTTTCTTCTGTATTTTCTGTCTCTGTGGAAGGCACCATAATATATCCAGTCATCCTGGCCAGAACAACCAGATTGTTTTCTGAGTTTCCCTGGTTCCTTCTTCTTTCACATCCAACCATACCTCCTGTGGACCCATCATATGCACGTACCTCTCTCCTTCCACACTTTACAGCCTGATTTTTGAATAAACAGTTTCTATATTCTATTTCAATTTCCTAGGAGGCAGGGATCAGGACCAGGGGTCTTTTTCTCTAGACATCCAAGAAGAGCATGGTTATGTTAAACACATGAGTAACTGTTGAAGATTAACCTTCTAGGGTGTATAACACACAAATGCACACTGCACGCATACACCTACAAAGAAATGAGCATGTCTCGGGCATCACTGTGCAGCGTGCAAGTCAGCGTGGCACCCTTCCTGGTGCACAATAGTTGCTTAAAAACATTTATTGAATGAATGAGTGAGTGAATAAATGAGTTATTGAATGACGGAGACAATGTTACAAGTATTCTCAGAGTGAAGATTGGTAAAGAAATGAGAAGCAAATCTGACTTTTGCAGCAAGAAAACAAAAGCCTCTAGAAAAAGAGAGACAGAAGGAAAGCAATCTGGAATTTTCTCAGTGACTCTTGAGGAAATAGATCGTTTTAGGAGGGGAAGAAGGGGGAAAGAAGATCTGGGGCTGTGCTTTTGGAGATTTGCTCATAGCTTACTTCTGCTGAAAGTTAATTTTTCAACCTGAACCTCTGGTTTCATTTCAGGTGGTCTCTCAGCCTTCAAGTCAGGAACTGAAGCCATTGCCACCTCCGCAGACATACAGGCTGACTATGTCAATGATATTTTAGCCCGAGCTAAATTCTATAAGAAACACGGCTTCTAGACAAAGCTCCACGGCTAGGCCAGGCTGGCAAGTACTCATACGGCCCCTTTGAGGATTTGATAAGGTTGTGTTGTACCCAGTGCTGGCAAAGGAATGGTTACACTTAAGACAAAAAATCCATTTCCTACTCTTCTTCATGCAAATAAGCATAGAAAAAAGGAAAATCCCCCCATTTCACATTATGGTTCCCGTGAGATATATATAGATATATGCATAATTACTGTGCAGTAAAAGTGAAAATCATAGTAAGTGATGTATTCTTACCATATTCTTAGGAATAAGTCTACCTATTCCAGCAGGGCCTCATTTTAGCCCACGATTTTACTTTTCTTGACTACACCACACGGCATGTGGGATCTTAGTTCCATCAGAAGGGATCAAACCTGTGCCTCCTGCAGTAGAAGCACAGAGTCTTAACCACTGGACCACCAGGAAGTCCTAGCTCATGATTTCAATGCCCACCTACTCCTTGTCTTACCAGAATTACTAATAAGAAGAGAGCCTGACCTGAGCCTTGGACCTCCTCCCAGCATCTGCTCAAGCCCCTAGAGCTTTGCTTGTGAGGGATGCCTGACTCATAAGCCAACCTGGGAGATGGTGGAGAAACCGTCGAATTCCCAGGGTGGAATTCGAGCTCTCTGGGCACCTGAGAGCCAACCTCGGTGAAGTTCATCCTCCTCAAGGGACGTACACCGCATCCCTCAGGCCCACTCCTGCCTCCTATGTCTTCTTCCTCTTATTTGCTGAAGATCCAGGGACTGGCTTCTTTTCTTCCCTTTTTTGTCATTAGTTGCCGCCACATGCTCTTTCAAGGGGTCAATTCTCCACAAAACGTGGCTGAAGATAAGCATATTGGGCCTAAATTTGTTATGGTTCTTGGGTGCAAGTAAAAGCCAATCCTTGAAATTTTAAACAATAAAAGGAAATTACTGAAAGACTATCAAAGGCTCACTGAGCTAATGAGAAGATCAAGGACAAGAAGAGAAACCAGGCAACTCTGGACTCTGGGTAGCAGGAACCAGCTGAGCATGATTTGTAGCACCCCACTGCATGAGTGAACTAGTGCGCTCACTGCATAAATGAACTCCAGCGCCTTTTTCTCCCATCCTTTCACCACTCTGTTTCACTTTCATCATCCAAGGAGAGAGACTCTGATGGACTATCTCAGGTCATACTCATACCTAGGGGCTGGCTGCTTTGCTTTTTGGTCTTGCTCAGACCACTACCATGGAGAAGAGACATTCCTCCTGAAGGAAACCTCAGGTAGAGTGTGGCTTTTACTTCCATACTCAGGAGAAAACACCAGTAACGTGTTGGATTGTAAAGTTCTCAAAGTCCCTGCCGATATGGTCCCTGATGGGCCTTTAGCTTCCTTCAGAGATGTTTGATGAATGTTTCTAAGAATCACTTATTTTTCTGAGGAGGAATCAAAATCATACCCACCTGACTTCCCTGGTCCAGTGGATAAGAATCTGCCTGTCCATATAGGGGACAGGGGCTCGATCCCTGGTCTGGGAAGATCCCACCCGCTCCGAGACCACGGAGTCTGTGTGCTGCAACAGCTGAGCCCTTGTGCCTCACAGCCTGTGCTCCACAGAAAAGAAGTCACCACAATGAGGAGCGCTTGCACTGCAGCGAAGAGTAGCCCCCACCCACCGAGACCAGAGAAAGTCCTCCAGCAGCAGCCAAGGCTCAGCACAGCCAAAAAAGTCATACCCACCCACATCTGAGCCCCCCTGGAGAAAGCCAGGTAAACCCTTCTCTGCTCCATGACCTCTCAACCCTGCCTGAAGATTTGACCCAGGCAGAACTGGGACCCCTGTGTTTCACTAGGGCAGAGCCAATAGTGTGATAGCCCTGCAGTATACAGGCCAGCATCTTCTGTGATCAGATGAGGGCCATGCTGTATCAGCTGTTAAATATTTTGGTTATTATTGCATAGAGGCAATCCAGGACACTTTTAGACATTCACATTGCTCAAGAGTGATTTCTTCTGTGGGGGAAACCACAAACATGTTCTCCATTTAATTGCAAACTCCTTCAATGTCTCCACTAAAACAATAAAGTGCACCCAGATGAGATCATTTCAAAATAATTTAAAAACAAGAAAAAATATGATGACTTATGACTGAGATACCAGATGTTGTAGAGTCCATATTTAAGGTGTCTTAGTTAGGTTACCATAGAAGTAGACCTTGACCCTGACCCTGACCCTGACCCTCAGGTGCAGGTGGTTTATTTGAGTGATGCAGGGAGTGCTGGTATGAAGTGGCTTGGGCATACAGGGAAGGGAAGACAACTCATAAAATGTATGTCATCAAGCCTGCTACCACAGTGGGCACTGGAGTTTGGTCCTCCAAGCAAACATCAAGGAATTGTACAAAACACACACTGCAGAATTATTAATATTACACTCTAGGGACAAGGAGCTGAAGTATTTATGCATCAACTTCTAAGAACCATTGACTGAGGTATCTGCCTGTTGAGGGGAGAGCAGTTTAATTCTTTGCTCTTCTGGTCTGCCGTGCAAGTACGCGGTATACTTATCTGCACTTCCAGGTAGATGTTGATGTGCAGATCCTGGCAGTTGTAAATCAATTAGAATCCTGAAATGTCTAGGGACATAGAAAGGCCCTTGCCTGCGTATGGGGCACTCTCCAGAAAACCTCTCTCTAGCCTGTGCTGTTGCTTCAGTTGTGTTCAACTCTTTGCTATCCTATGGACTGCAGCCCACCAGGCTCCTCTGTCTATGGATTCTCCAGGCAAGAATACTGGAGTGGGTTGCCATGCCCTCCTTCAGGGGATCTTCCCGACCCAGGGATTAAATCAATGTCTCTTATTTCTCCTGCGTGTTCGCTCACCGGTCAGGGAACTAAGATCCTGACCATCCCCCCAACCCTGAAACAAACCTCACAAATGCCTGAAAGAGAGGTTGACTTCAGTCAAAGGAACACAAAGAAAGGCCTGGCCAATGAGGGAGACAAAACACAAAGAACAAAACACAGATTAAAGTGTGAAAGGAATTATGCCACATGGACATTCCTGCTGCTTGGGTTCACTCAATACATTCCTCAGAAAAGCTATACTGTTTACTTTTAAGAAGATGAAAGGTTAAAACATGGCTGAAGCTTTAAAAATGTGAAGCGCAGAAAGGGATGGGGAGGTGTGGTTTCTGATTGTGCCTTTGAGGTTAAAGAGCCTGAATGCTTTACAACAGGGGTCCCCAACTTCCAGAATCTAATGCCTGGTGATCTGAAGTGGAGCTGATGTAGTAATAGAAATAAAGTGCACAATAAATGTAATGCACTTGAATCATCCTGAAACCACATCCCTACCCCCAGTCCGTGGAAACATTGTCTTCCAGGAAACTGGTCCCTGGTGCCAAAAAGTTTAGGGACCACTGTTTTACTCGCATCTGCAGGCTCTGGCATCCTGAGAAGGGCTGCACACCAGTAGCCACCGGAATCTGGGTGTGAATTGCTTCTCATTTCTGTTCCACTTGTTTATCTTTTTTGCTGGTTGCCTGGGGTTGAATTCCTATTTGATTGACAAGCTCAACTTTAACAGCAGCGAAGAGTAGCAACACCACTCCAGTGCTTAGCTTTGTCAAATCCATTTTGAGTGTAATTATCACTGAAAGAAAAACAGCTTTTCTCATTTTTAAAAGAATGAAATAACTTGCTGGAGGCTGTTCACTGTCATTTGAAACTAGCAAAACCATATGGAGCCATGACTGTGAGCATCCCGTCTTATCTGTTTAAATATCCCAAGTCAATGTTGTGAAAAGCAACAGGTTTGGCTTCCCCAATTCTCTATGTGGCTCTATTCCTAACCATGTCTTCTCCTATCCTACCTAATTCCCTTTCCCACTATGTCCTTCACTCAGCCTCTCACACTCATGGTCCTTCCCTCTGCAGGATCTATGCTTCTCCACCTGTTCTCCAGGTGGTCTGCCCCTTCTGAACTCCTAGGTCTACACAAACCTCTCCACTTCCTAAGGGTCTTCCCTGGGCTTGGCGTCCCCTCCTGCTGCCTCTATACCCCAGCCTTCCATCACTACTTTCTGCCCTTTTCCCTTACTGAATTCTAAAATTAAGACAAAGATATGTTACAAAGTGAACCCTTGATCAAGGTATTTCTATGATGTGCTACTTCCAACTGAAGGAACTGGAGCCAGAGAATCTGGATTAGCCTTTTCACAGGTAAAGAACAAAAATTCCTTATCACTTACAGCTTTGAGGAGGTTTTTTGGAGTCCTCTCTAAAGAGTTCCCTGCTCAGGTATCCTTTGAGCTTTGTGTCCATGGATTGAAAATAAAAATGATTGATAAAAAATTTTGTTTCAATGTGTGTTCCTAGCCCTTATTAAAGTTATAGAAAGCATACTAATTAGGTTAAATTGGGTTTTGCACACACATTTTTAGTTTCATTTTCTTGCAAAAATATAATTAACGGATCTTAGGATTGTCCTGGGTTCTGGACTGTTTTGACAAGAGTATCTTAGGGGAAGAAGATACGTCTTAAGTGCAATACAGTTCTGAAGGTATTGTTGTGGGGTTTATGAGTGAACAAAACACAGTTTTCCTCACAGTTGCTCAACATCGTGGTGCTTGTGAAGACTTTCCTATATGTGCAGTGCATGGGTTGTTTTAGTTTCTATTATCTATCTTTCTAGCACCTGCCTATGCTCTTATTTACAGAGCAGTGCTAAGAGATAGGGTCTATTACCATGTTGTCTCATATCCTCAGCATTCTTTGAAGACAGGTGAAGAGCATGAGGCTCAATGGATGGTTCTGGGCCTTGGGGTCTTCTCAGGGGGATCTGGGGAGAGTGTCCACACTATGGAGATCTGTGGAGGCCTTACCTATTATCACCAGGGAAGACCTCTGAAAGGTCCTGAGTACCCCCAGCGAGAGCAGAGTAGGAGGGGGAAGTTGTGAGAGTCATGGATATGTGCAGAGCATGGAAGATGCAATCCGAGGGGAGAGAAGGCTTCTGCTCAAAGAGCAGAGGGGTGAATGTCCACCCAAGAATGTGTGCTTCAGCAGCAGGTTTGTATGCAAAGCGTACATTAGTACCCTTATCAGTAAAGGTGTTACTCATGGAATACTGGTCAATGATGGCAAAGCAATCTTATTCTCTAATGAACGTGAAAGGCGCTCAGTCATGTTCCACTCTATTCGACCCCAGACTGCAGCCCTCCAGGCTCCCCCCTCCATGGGATTGTCCAGGCAAGAATACTGGAGTGGGTTGCCATTTCCTCCTCCAGGCGGTCTTCCTGACTCAGGGGTTGAATCCATGTCTCCTGCATTAGCAAGCATATTCTTTATCACTGAGCCACCAGGGAAGCCCCCATAATTGATACATAACACTGTGTAAGTTTAAGATGTACAGCACAATGATGTGATTTACACATTTTATGAAATGATGATCACAATGAATTTAGTTCACGTCCATCATGTCATGAAGACACATTAAAAAGAAAAAAAATTTTAACTTGTGATGAGAACTGTTAGGATCTACTCTCTCACAAACTTTCAAATACATCATACAGCATTGTTAACAAGTTATCACATGGTACATAACCTCCCAAGATTTATTTGCTTATAACTGGAAGTTTGGACCTTTGCCTATGGTAACCACAAATCTGATCTCTTTTCCTATGAGCTGTTACTTTCTTTTTTGTAAGAGTCCCCATATAAGTGATATCATACACCATTAGTCTTTCTCTGTCTGACTTATTTCATTTAGCATAATGCTGTTAAGGTCCATTCCTGTTGTTGCAAACGACAGAATTTCCTTCTTTTTATGTCTGAATAATATGGGACTTCCCAGGTGGTGTAGTGGTAAAGAAGTGGCCTGCCAATGCAGGAGACATAAGAGAGAATGGTTCAATCCCTGAGTCAAGAAGATCTCCTGGAGGAGGGCATGGCAACCCACTCCAGCATTCTTGCCTGGAGAATCCCATGGACAGAGGAGCCTGGAGGGCTATAGTCCAAAGGATCACAAAGAGTCAGACACAATTGCAGTGATTTAGCATGCCATGCTCATTATACAACCACATTTTGTTTATCCATTCAGCCATTGATGGACACAAGTTATTTCCATGTCTTGGCTATTGTAAATAAAGCTGCTATGAACATGGGGGTACAGAGTGATCCCCAGAGACAAAGGGGGAGTCTCGCTGGGGAACAAGTTTGTGTATCTGAGTGTGCTCTGGTGGGGGCTGGAGGATGGTCCAAAAAGACTGTAGTCCGGGGGCACAAAGGGCTCTGGTGGGAAAGAGGGGGGACTAATGACAGAGAAGACCTTGGAGGCCAAGATAAGGAAGCCAGAGGGGATAAGGCGGAGTGAAGAGGGCAAGTGAAGTTTAGGAGGACACAGTGGCTAGGGCATTCTGGAGCAAAGTGGTGAGGCCAGCCGTGGGAGCAGGAAATGCGGTGAGAAGGGAGGGGCAAAACAAGAGCCAGTGATGAGGTGGGAAAATGTGGTGGGGCAGGACCCACTGGTGAGGACGGAGACAATGAGGGGAGCCTGGACAGGTGCAGCGAGGGGAAGTGGGCCCGTGGAAGGCACTCCAGCAGAGGCTGGGAGACCTTGTAGGGTCCACTGAGAAGGTGGAGGCTGGTGTCAGGGAGGCTCAGAAAGAGGGCTGTGGACACTGAAGCGGGAACAGTGGAAGCAGCATCTTCTCCAAGCTCCTCAAACAGCAGAATGCCAGCTCTGGGAGATTCCGTATATGTACATGTATGAAGACACCTCACAGCCGGATAATGACACACGGTTGTTGACAGTGGCCCTTATCAGGGACATCCTTGGGAATGTGGAGGGCAGGGCACAAGCCTCAGACAGGGAGGAACAGGGGCAGGGTGTCCTGGTAGGGGTAGCGGCACCTGATGGTTACTCCCATCCTGTTTCCTGCACCCTGTTTCTCACCCCCATGGCTGGATCTCATGTTCTCTTCCCTAGAGATTCCCCCGACATGTCAGGCCAAGCCATCCTGAGGGCCTGGAATTGCACCAACCATGCTGGGAAAGGAATACACAAAGCAGGGAAGTGATGGATCCCCCTGCACAGAAGAGAAAGTAAGACTTGGACCACTTGAGTTTCTTTCTGGCAAGTTCTCCAAGCAGGGGAACCAGCAGACTGGGTTACCTGTGGTGAAGCTAGAAGCACAGAGATACTCTAAAGAGGTGGAGGCTGAGTGGAATGATCCTAAGGAGAGATCCTAGCAGCTTAGACCCTGAGAGCAGCAAGCATCAGGGGACTTCCCTGGTGGTCCAGTGGGATCCACCTTGCAATGCAGGCAACTTGGGTCCAACCTCTGGTCAGGGAACTAAGATCCCACATGCCATGGGGCAACTAAGAGCACGCTGCAACTCTTGAGCCTGTGCAATGCAATGCAAGAACCTGCATGACACAACAAAGTTCCACAACTAAGACCAGATGCAGCCAAAAAAACAAAAAACAAAAAACAACAATGAGCATCGAGAGTGCTGGCTCGCCACAGACCAAAAGACACACCTGGAGCTTGGTAAGTTCCCTTTATTGCATTTCAGAAAAAGTTCTTTGGGAAGGACTTTATAGGATTTGGGGTTTTATTAGAGGGTTTTCATGAGTGTTCAAAGGAGCAGGGGTTGCTCAGGATTGGCGCTGTTGGGAGAAAGAGATGGCTCTATGACTGGTGTCTTCATTAATCTCATCTAGAAGGTGAGAGGGGAGAAGTGAGGCTGAAGCTGTGTGACAAGCAGCAGCAGCCCCCACGTTACCCAGAGGAGGGGAATGTTCGGTCACTTTTCTGGCTTGAACAATGTCGGTGTTTTCATCTCTGCTCAGACATGATTACATAATGAGCTTATTTCTGTCTTGATCCATCAGTCACAGATGGAGAAGGAAATGTCAACCCACTCCAGTATTCTTGCCTGGAGAAGCCCACCGACAGAGGAGCCTGATGGGCTACAGTCCATGGGGTCACGAGAGTCGAACACAACTTAGCAACTAAACCACCATCAGTCACAGAGCAGCTTTATCTGAGGTTGGTAATTTGTGAAATCGCTCCAGCTCCTAGGCACATCAAGGTGTGATGGCTCCTGACTGTC